GCTGCTCCCGGCGGCTTTTATAGCCCCCCGCCACCATCGCATCCGCCGCCGTCTGCGAAAGGAAGGGTGGGGGTGAGGCGAAAAAGGGGGGCGAGAAGCCCCGTGGCAGGTACCGAACAAAAGATGAGCCCCGGCACCGGGCGATGGCGGGATGCGGATTTAGGGGATTAGCATCTGTTGGTGAAATGCGGCCGGGGAAGTTTTCCGGGCGATGCTGCTGTTAATTGCGTTTGGAGACGGATGGGGCTTGAGGGGGAGAAAAGGGGGGCGATGGAAAGTTTTTCTCCGGGTTTTGGTGCTTTTTGTCTGTTACTGGCACATCAGAGAGGAGCTTCTGTGGCTCCTTTGTGGGTTTGAGGTTGTCTTTCTGTGGGATAAAAAGGGGATTTGGTTAAAAGTGAATGTCTTAGGACATCCATGGCTTCTTATCCCAGGCAGGGCAAGCTTGGGCATGGGGCATCTCTGCCTAAGAGAGTCCTGCTACCATCGGATTTGGGTGCAAAAGCAGCAGGAAAAGGTTTTCCAGCCTGGAAGTGGCTTTTCCAGAGCATGGACTGGTTTTTGTGGCTTGGCCAGGCTCCCTGCTCCGTTTCTGTTCCCATCAAACCCCAGCCCCTCTGCTCCACTTGCACTGGACCAGCTTTGGGCTGCAAACTTTTGTTGTCTATAGGGTTGGCCATCACTGGTCTATAGGTAAGAGCAGTGGTGAGTTTTAGAAGGCTCCTTCATGCACCTTGGCCAAGCCTTGCATGGGTGAAAGAGAGAAATGTTCGCTCCTCCACCATGCATTCGGTGCAGGATGGCAACTTGGGGCACGCCTGGAAGGGGACGCTCCTCCACCATGCATTCGGTGCAGGATGGTAACGTGGGGCACGCCTGGAAGGAGTCTGGGGGTGATGGGACATCAGAGAGGGTTGGAGAGATGAGGAAACTCATCTGGTGCCAAATTTCCAGCCTTCCCAGACAGCTGGTTCATGCCTGGAGGGCTCGACTCTTTTTTTCCTCTCAAAAGAGGGTGGCAACATGCAAGAGGTCCCTACAGATGGTTGTGGCTTTGCTAACTCCTGACACTGCCCCAGGGTGGTTTCTGGGGTAAAACCACATCCCCGAACCCCACCAGGCCCCGTGCAGGAGGTTTCTGGAGCGTGTTCAGAGAAGAGCCACAAGGATGGGGAGGGCTCTGGAGAACAAGCCTGATGAGGAGCGGCTGAGGGAACTGGGCTTGTTTAGCCTGGAGAAGAGAAGGCTGAGGGGAGACCTCAGCACCACCTCCAACTGCCTCAAGGGAGCTTGGAGAGAGGTGGGTGCTGGTCTCTTCTGCTAGGTGATGGGGGATAGAACAAGGGGAAACGGCACCAAGCTGTGCCAAGGGAGGTTCAGGTTAGAGAGAAGGAGGAAGTTCTTTCCTGAGAGGGTCGTCAGAAGCTGGCACAGGCTGCCCAGGGAGGTGGTGGAGTCACCATCCCTGGATGTGTTTAAAGAGCGGGTAGATGAGGTACTTAGGGATATGGTTTAGTGGGTAGACAGGAGCGGTTGGACGTGATGATCTCAGAGGTCTTTTCCAACCGAGCGATTCTGTGATTCTGTGATTCAAGGCAGCAGGATGGTGTTCAGAGCTGGTTTATGGCCTTTTCTACCCCCTATCTCACTTGTTTGAGGTGGATTTACCTCTGACCTTGCTCATCACCTCCGCTGGCTGCTCTCTACCAGCATCACATTGTGATGACACCGGTCCTCAGCCACGTGTTGGGATTTTAAGATTTTTAAGGTCTTTTTTTTTTCCAACTGTGGGCTTACCCAGCTGGAGAAACACATCTGCAATGGAGTTTTTCCATCCTCACGTTGTTCCACCATGCTCCCACTGATTTTTGCTGGGTCTGGCCTGAAGCAAAGGCTGTGAGCATCCCTCCCACCAGCCCGTATGAAGCACAGCCACTGATTTGCATGTTTATGAGGAGACAAATTGCAGGGCACAGCAAAGCCACACATGGAGGTTTTGCTGGCAACGGTACCAATGGGGAGCAGATGTGGTCTCACACCTTGGGTGGGCGAAGGATGGGAAGGAGCCACCCCGAAAGGCACCTCCTGGGGAGAGCAGCCCAAAAGCAGGATGCTGGGGCTGGAGGGACCCGCAGTGTGGTTTGAGCCACTTCATCTGGACATCTGCCTCGGAGTGGAGACGTTTCATCCACCCCAAAAAGATCTCCTCCCCTCTTCCCAACAGCCAGAGAAAAGACTGAGAATGGACAAAAAAGGAGGTGGGGTTTGGGTATCTCCTTGCCAATGGATTTTGGAGTGCAACAGCTTCACCTGATAGGTGATACCCTCCATTGTGGGTAACTGGGCAAAGCTGCAGAGGTTTGAGGAATGTCTTCTGTAGCACTTGATCTTGGCTCACACCTTCTCCGGACCCCTCGTCTTCCCCAAATCCATCCCCAAACCTCAGCACCCGTAACTGCGTCAGCTGCTTCCATCCTTCTGGACAGATTCCCCCAACCTGCAATATCTTTTTGGTGACAGAGAGCTATTCTGAGATACTTTATGGCCCAAACCGGAGCTATGATTCCCACTTTAAAGGCTCTTTCATCTTCATTAGGCCAATCCGAGCGGTTTATGTTTATAAGGAAGCTGTGAAATCTGTTTAGGAAACCTCGCTGAGCAAAGCACAGCATCTCCCAGGGACACTGGTGCCCCAGCATCTCTGGGGGATGCAGGAGGACCCAGTCCTGCAATGGGGATGCTGGAGCAAGCGACTCCCCCTCCCAGCGAAGGGCTGGTCCCGGTGTAACAGCAGGATACTTATTATATTTTATTACAGAATGTATTTCTCTTTCTTTTCCAAAGAGAGTCCAGTGTGTGATTGATTAGTGACTGCAGCCGGCTCCCAGGCAGATGAATAGGAGTGGTGGGAAGCCAAGACGAGAAGAAAAGGACCCTCCAGCGGGGGGAAAATCCCATTAGGAGGAACATCATCTTCTTTCTCTGAGAGCAGGGCAGAGCTGAAGACCATCCAGGACCATATAATTTCACTGCAAGAGCAGCATCCTCCAGTCCCTGCTCTGGAGACCTCCCGTGAGGGGTGTCTTGAGGGAGACCTTGTGGCTTCATCATGGCTTTGTCCCCGTAAGACCCTCGTGCTCAGGGGGTGCAGCCCTTTCCCGGATGCGGGGGTGAGATGTCCACGGGTGACCGGGTTCGTTAGCCGCGTGACTGCTGGCCTTTCTGTTTTAATTTGGAGAACAGCTCGCACCTGGGTGTGAATGAGCTCCAGGGGCTGGGTGCGAATGTCGCGACTGCGCTCAAATCCCACGGGAGGACGTGTGGCAGCCACCCCCACCAGGCTGTAAACACCCACACATGGGGCTGAGTGATGCTCTGGGGCTCACAAAAACCTTGTGATGGTCATGATGGTCTGTCCTAGGACCCAAGTTTCCCCCAGGCACACATCATGTTGGGTGCTGAGACAATCACAGAATCCCAGCATGTCAGGAGTTG